ATGAAAAGGGATGAAAAAGTTCATGAGTCGTGTAATTTCACATTGCCTAAAGGATTAAGTCTGCACACTCAATCCAACAGAAAGTGGGGAAATCAGAAGTAGTAGTTCAACACCACACTCAATGTACCATAGCGGCATGAGTTAACAAATCTAATATGACAAAAAAATGACATACTGGAAAATTTTTTGGATGAGAAACTTTGAAAATTTTTTCTTAGATTACCAATGAGAGATTTTTTTGAGGCAAAATTCTTCCGCAGGTTTTGTAACTTTAGGAGCTTACATGTCAATTATTATATTTTTAAGAAATAAAAAGCAAACAAATAAGACGATAAACTGTAATGAGGCCAAGATAATTAAGAAATTCTTTTGAAAAGAAAAAAGACTCACTATCTAAACAAAAGACATTCCCTGGGCCAAAATATTCTCTGAACATTTCGCGACTATCTTCCATCGTTGCTGACATTAAGATAATCTGAAACAAAACAGAAGGGTTCGTAAACGACGAAACTTTTCTCCAGCAGCAAAATAACATTTTAGCCAAGAGAACTTTTGAGTTCGTAACCTATTCAGGAGACGAAACGTACGTCAAATCCAATAGCAAGCTGACCAGTAAACGATTCATTACTAAACATCCCAAGAGCACCAAGACTGTTCGGGATATTAGCGTGGGTATTCCCTGTTAGTGATGTTACTAGGATGTTCCCACACGCCCAGCGCAGCTACGCCACGCCATGGGAGCGGTCAAAGTAAATATAAACGTGAAAAAGTCGCCAAATCCATAGGTCGAGGACCATGCTATACGAATCAATAGCTGTTCCCTGTGAAGGAAAAGGAAAACGAACTACGATAAAAACACAGAAGATGAAATTATGAAACTACACAACGAGTGATATCAAAAGAACAAACCCTTAGATCATCCCTCTGCTTCAGCGCTTGTCGAAGGGCTATCAAGAGATAATCGGTTTTTTGCTCCCGTTCATGGATTTCATCCTATAACAAACAAGAAACAGCATGAGAAGCCACAAAAATAATAAAACAAACAATAAAGAGCTAAAGCAGTTACTTTGTCTCTAGTAAGCGTTTTCATTATTAATAGAATGACAAGTAATGTCCATTAGAAGGTCGAATCATAGGTGGACGGTCCAAGTGGAACGGCTGGAGCGGGTTAAACTGATAATTTGCGGTCTTTGGTAGGCCGAGCCGTAATTTCCGAAGTAGACTGCCCGACCGAACCGTAGAAAACACGGGCCGGCCGTAATCTATGAATTTTAATATAGGGTGGGATTAATATTCGTCCAAGTTCACAATCTTAACCGAAAGAAAAACCCCCTAGATAGTAAAGTACCTTAGCCCAGTCTAGGGCTTTCATCGTTCGGAACGAGGTGGTGATATCAATATCAAGGATGACAAGACGGTGATGTTATGAGATAAACACACGGAAAAACCAGAAAAAAACAAAAAAATGCCAATTAAAACAAATTTCGAAAGTGAAACAAACCAGGATAATATGTGAAATATTACATGCATTTGTATCGCTTGTGAGCAATCGTAGCAATACTCCACTGGTACAGTAAGTTAATACTGTCTGTTCTGAGATCCTGAAAAAAAAAAAGAAATTCGCTCTGCTGTACAACATCTGAAGCGCCCTAGAGGATGAAACGAACATTAGGATCGCCAGCGAGCTGACTGTCAAGCTGGGGAAGTTATCAGTTGAATAGCTGGAGAAACAGATTAGAAATAATAGACCAACAGGATTGTACGCAGGCGTCATGTGTAAGATGATATTTTATGGTGCAAACTGCCTTTATCCTTTAGATTTAGTAGTAAGGTAATATTTTACGATACAGTCTCTGTATGTTTCATCCCTTAGCTGTAAACACAGGCCGGACTATGCATG